CCCCCCCCCCCCCCCCCCCACACATGAAAACCTACACTCTCGATGCCTGCACTCTATACCCTAAACCCGAAACCGAGACCCATATACTCCAAGCGCGAGACCCTATAACCGAAACCCGAAACCAAACCTGAGATCCCTAAGCGCCAATCCGCCCAGTATTGTTGTTTGGGGTGTCCTTGTTGTGATCAGGTATAGTATATCCAAAACTCTATCTTAATTCTTAAGGCCCTCACACAAAACCCGTTCAGTAACCCTTGTAGTAACACTGTAAAGAAGCCTATGGAGGCGCTCTATTCTCCGTCCTTCAGGTCCCAAGTACAGATCCGGCAAGACCCTATACATCCTCAATCCTAGTCCCTAAACCCTAAATCCCTAAACTCCTAAACCCTAAATTACCATACCGCACATCGCAGACCTTGCCAGGCTGGTCCGAGTGTGAGTGTCAAAAACCCCCAAATCCTACACCCAAAAAAGCCACTACTGTAGGGGCCTTAATGATTAGAATAGGGTTTTGGGGGCTCCTTATTATGATTGTAGTATCATGGGCCCCAAAACCCTATTCTAATTCTTAACGCCCCCCCCTAAACCCTAAACCCTAAACCCTAAACCCTTACCGCCATTTTGGCTCAAACCATTTTGGCTCGGGTCTGTTTTGCGAGCTGTGATCCCCGTGGCTCCTTACCCTCTGGCCTGCCTGCCCCCTCCCTCTCGTCGGTTCTCTGTCGGTGCGGTGATGGCTCTTGATGAGGGTGGTGATTCGGTGATGGATGCGCCTACCCAGCCCATCATTGACGCTGATGAAGAAGATGGAAATGATGATGAGAGTCCCTTGACACACGCTTCCCCCGCAGCTGTCCGCGAAGGAGCTCCTACTGAGGGACGCCTGCACGCTATTCGGGATGGGGTTCCCCTGGAAGGTCGCCTGAATTCGGAAGACATGCATGCTAGGCATGAGGCCCTTAGAGATGCAGCCATTGCTGCTGAGGCTCTTAAGGCAGCGACATCTACGGACGTCCTCCCCCTGACAAGCCCTAATCCTTATGCACTGGCTGCTGCATCTAACTCGTGCTTCCCCGGACAAACACCCGGAACCGCCTCTGCTGGACCTCCCCTTGCACTGCTTGTACCTTCGAAGAAGCATAAAGACCGTTTAGAGAGCCCCGAGAAGAAGCCTAAAACAGAAAAGAAGAAAGCACCTGAGACCCCGAACAGGCTTGAGGCCCCCCCCCTTTTTGGGGGAGGGGGAGGAGGATCCCGTCCTGGTATGCTCCCCAACCCCCTTGAGCATAGACCCCCACAAGTCTTCCACCTCGACCCCGCGAACACTGGAGTGCCTGACTGGGTCGGTGATCTCTGGGCGATGCTGGCTGGAGGACAGAAGGAGATTATGTCAGAGCTGCATACTCATAAGGCCCATTTGTCTTCGGTTTCTCAACAGGTTCAGAGTTTGGACAAGAAGCAAGAGGATCTTTCTAAAGCACAGGGGGACATGGCTACCCAGCTCAACAATATGGAAGCAGAAGTTCGAGAGTTGAAAACCCGTTCTCGTTCGGTCAGCCCCGCCCCCCCTCCCCCGGATCAGAGTCCACGTTCTACGACAGCCAGCACCCTTGGAGGCAAGCCGGTGGTAGATGATTTCCAGATAGTCATTGGTAGGTGGAACGATGCCAAGAGAGGAGATATTGAAGCAGAGATTAGGCGCCTTTTCGAACTTATCGAAGCGAGCCCCCTACTTCAGAACATTCATGTACCCTTCGTCCGCTCAAAGTTTGCGAGAGTGGAACTCCTGTATACTAATGGCAGCTTGGCAGAAAGGAGGAAAGTCCAGAACCTTGTCATTGAGGCACTTAAGAAGACTTTTCAGGATTTCAGGAGTGACATATCGGGACAAGCAGGGCGTCCTCTATGGGTCACTAGGAACAGGAGTAAGGAAGACGGGGAGAAGATTCGTGCCCTGGTAAGCATCAAGGACTGGGCACTCAAGCACACCTCGGCTATCCTCGTTGACCTTGACTGGAGAGGGAAACTTTGGATCAGAGGGGAACAAGTCCTTTACTGGCACCTGTATACCAAGCCCGGTAACGGATCTATGATGCTTACGAATGCAGCTGGTGATGAGACAGGATGGTGGGTTGACGTGCGACAGCTCGCCCGCATACTTGCCATCCCCCCTGACCAAGTTAGGGATGAACTGATGGATTGACTAGATCGCAGCAGAACAGCAAAACGACGCACGAAGGAGATCTGCATGAATGAATTCGTTTTCCTCACTTGGAATCTGCATGGGAAACATCTTTCTAGTGTTCGTAATCTTTTGGACCGTACTGAGGATCCTCCCGAAGCCCTGGCCTTTCAGGAGGTAGGGGGTTTCTCCGACCTGCCCCAAGGGGAGTGGAGGACAGAGACCCTAGACCTCAGCGGTGTGTCGTACAGAACCTTTGTGTTCCAGACACCTTTTTCGCATCGTTGCACAGCTCTGCTGTTTAGGCAGGACCTTTCGTTGGAAATTGTTCAGAGGCATGTTTTTGGCACAGGTTTCATCTTAGAAACCAAATCGCATGGGCGCACGTGGTGGTTGGGGTGTGGACATCTTCCTCACCAACAGCGACCGGACGCAGAGGAGGTTTGGCTATCTAGTATCGCTCGAATTGATGAAATTCTTTCCTTGTCGCGAATTCAAGACGTTGTCCTTTTAGGCATGGATGTCAACCAGAATTTGATGCATGCTAACCCTTCCTTTCCCGCACTGTCCCGAATTCACCTCCTGCTTAGATACCGAGGACTGGAATTCAATTCTGCATGTGAGAATACTTGGGAAGCGAGAAGTGAGGCTAGCTGCATAGATTGGATCCTCTTCAGGTGGCCGGTTGTTGAGGTTGGTTTCCACTTGAGGCCTGATCTGAGAGAAGCCCTCCCCTCTGACCACAACCCACTTTATGGAACCTTTCGAGGCAGAATGGGTATGACGCTGAGAGCGCTTCGACCCAAGCATCGGTGTGGCCGATGGGCGACACCCTGTCTTCCTCTAGAGCAGGCTGCATCTGACCCTTCCTTTGAGTTCACCCAAGAGACCTTTGCGCAGTTCTCGTACCGCTTGCCCACACTTCGGTATAAAGACCCGCCCCAAGTCCTGGAACTCATTAGACAGAGGAAGCTCGCAACTGATCCGCAGGCACGCCAAAAGCTTTGTGAGGACATTTCGGAGGCTCGTAGATTGGCACAAAAGAAACACAAGCTTGACCTTCTTGAAGCTGCCAGACAAGGTGACCGTGGGGCAATTGGGCATCTCCGCCGTAGTAGTCTACAGAGCCATTCTGACGGTAGTTTGATCGAGAGACTCGGGGGAGATGATGCAGCCTATGATGCCTTTAAAGCCTTCTATGCCAAAAAGTACCAATTGGGGGCCTCCGACACGCCTGTTAGCCCCGCCCAGTGCGAGGCCCTGGAGAGCAAACACTCCAAAGCTCCCTTTCTTCCTATCTCGCAAGAGGAAGTGGCGGAAGCCTTGGTCAAGGTCAAGCCCAGTACCGCCACAGGGCTAGACTCGGTATGCTACTCAGCGATCAGACACTTCCACTCACAGGACCATTCAGGCAAACTGTGCATTTTCTTTAACCGTATTCTTGATGGGACACACCCTGTCCCCTCAGACTGGGTTACTGGTAAGATTTGCCTCATTCCGAAGATTGGACGTCCCCAAAGAGTCCAGGATATGCGTCCTATCAGCCTGACTCCCTGTTTAGGAAAGGTTTTCTCCAAGATTTTGGTCAATCGACTCCGTGCCAAGTTTCCCCCCTATGGGGCGGGACAACATGCCTGCCGACCTGGGACCCAGGTCATTGAGGCGATTGCCTGTGCGATGTCTTCAATGAAGATCTATAAGCAGCACACTGGAGAACAGCTGTTGGTATGCAAACTCGATATCAGTCAAGCCTTCGACACGCTTTCTCACCAGGCGATCTGGAGATACTTGTTTGATACCGAGGCTTCAGCAGAGGCCTTTGCACTTTGGACCATGTGTCAGGACACTAAGGTGTGCCTGCAAATAGGCTCGCACATGTGGACCCAGGACCTTCAACGGGGGGTGTTACAAGGGACCTCTTTCAGTGCAGACCTTTTTTCCCGGGTCTTGGACTACTTTTGTGCAGGGCTCCTTGAACGTTGGCGTGCATCCCAACATCCAGCTTTCCTCAAGTTCCAGTTGCCTCATGCTTTGCTCTTTGCGGACGACATCTTGCTTTTTGCAGCAACAGAAAAAGAAATGCAATCAAAGCTACATGCCCTTCAACTTACACTCGAATCAATAGGGCTGAAGCTGAACTTGGCTAAGTGCTCTGTTTTGGATAACGAGGACGGCACTACTCCGGGTGTGTGGGGACGCAACTCCTGCACCCCACTGCAAGGAGTCAGTCACCTGCTGTACCTGGGCGTTCCTCTCAGTTCTAAAGCGACTCCGCTAGGGCAGCTAGGGGTATCTTTGGCAAAGCTCTCATCGGCTTTCTTCGGCCTCCGGCGCCTTTTCGACCACCCGGACACACCCGTGCATGAGAAGTTGTTGCTTTTCCAGACATATATTACGTCCAAATGGACCTGGTGTTGTCCCACTATTTTTCCATCGCGGAAATCCCTGCGTAGCCTGGAGTCCTTTAAGCACACCCTTCTTTTGTCATTGCTGAAACTACAAAGTGACCCTCTGCAAGGCTTTGTCGTCAATACGATTGCAAGAAGAAGGGCCGTTAAGGTCCTATGCGAGGTTCATAAATCAGCGAGATGGGGAGAACTTTGGCTCAGTCGCCTCTGGACCTTTTGGGGCCATGTCCTGCGACAACAGCCGGTTCTGCCGCTTGGAACGGTCCTCCGAAGTTGCTCTTCGTGGCGAGTCCTAACAGGTCGAACGGCAGCTTCAGACCTACTTTTCTTTATACCAAGGAAACTCCAGCTCTTTTGGCAGCAAGTTAGGGACGAATCGCCCTTCCCCGACGTTGAGAGTCTCGCACAGGACAGGGTAGCTTGGACTAGGATGCTTCCCAGCTGGCTACAAAAGTGGGGGTATGGGGCTTCTGAGGTTGATCGCCTTCCCCCTAATTACCTACATGATCGACAGCTGCTCTTGGTAGGAAAGACTTTGGCCGTTCTCCGGCCTGCGCGCGTCTTTCCTGATATGCCTTATAGTAGAGAGCTGCAACATGTACAACGAGGGACCCCGAGAGCTACACAGTGGTCCCTGTGGGGTCGATTGTTGGATGAGGGGTGCTGCTTCACCCTCATCCCCCCTAAACAGGTCTCGAAACAGCCGGTCCACCTGCAGGTCTGCTACTCTGCTCTGGACTGTACGTCCCGACGCCTCTGTTTTTGGGAGTCAGTACACGCCTTTTGGAAGTGGTTCCCGGAACTACAGGACAACAGAGCAGCATGTTTCTTTCCGGCTCAGGCCTTTGCAGCCCATATTTTTGCACATCAAGTTCCCCTAGTGTCCCTATCCCAAACCCAATGCCTGGACAGGTGTGAAGTTGAAGTCGACCTTCTTTCCTTCTGCTACTTACACCCGAAACAGCTACCGACGTGGCTCGAACATCACCTGCCAGCTACCTTCGGCCCTTTCCCGGGAACGTACAGGTTCTTGATCAGAAGGAACGACTTCTCCGAAGCCAAGTACTTTGAGAGTTTGCCAGTTATACTGTAGTGTTTTCTGAGTAGCTTTGAGAGTTTGCCAGTTATACAGTAGGGTTCTCTGTGTAGGGTGGATTTCTTTGACTTTTGATGCGCGCTTCCCCAGCGGCCTTCTCCGGAACTTGACATGCTAGTCTCATCGCCTGTGAGTTGCATTTGCTTGTTTCCTTGGGAAAGGGGGGGGGCAGGGCGAACAGTTTATTGTTCTCTGGGAGCATTTCTGGCCGAACTGCATCAGCCCGCCTAGGTTCTTTTCTGAGCACCTTGCCTTGGCCCCAGCCATGAATGACCAGGCAGAGAACCCGACGACCCAGGTTCGACTCAGGACCTCGCCTCAAGCACCGCCGTCGCCTCCACCTCTCCCGGGGAACGTGGAGCACGGCTATGCAATGTGGGGTTTCCTGGATCAGCAGATTCTGATGCAGGTTTTCACTGTCTTACTGACCCTGCTGGTGGTGGCAGTGGTAAGACATATCACAGCATGGTGGAATGGGCCAGAGAAACCCAAAGTTGCACCTAAGGGTGTCGATACACCAAGTGCGGAGGTCACCGATGGCCCGAAGAAAGCCACGGAGGAGACACCGAAAGATGACAAGCAGGGGAGCCCTGATGCCCCTGCCAAGCCGGATAAGAGCACAGTGGTGGATGACTCGGGCCCGCCGAAAACTACAGGGGCCCCGACGAACCCACCTCCCCAAACGCAGACTGGACCTGGCACGAATGCTGGTGGAACAGATAAAAAGCCGGATGGACCTGGAGCCTCTGACAGTAAGGCCAAGGCTGCAGGTGCTGACCCAGCTCCTGCCCCAGCAGTGACGCCACAGGCCCTCATGCAAGAAATCCAGGCGGTTCACAAGCTGCTCAAATCGGGGGCAGATGGGGGAACCAGCCAGGAGATGAAGAAAGAGATGGATAACCTCCGTAAGGATGTCACCACGATCATGAAGTTCCTCTCTTCGAGCGATAAAGACCTGAAAGACCTTTCAGGTCGCATATCAGCGATGGAGACGGTGCTCGGGGCTGTGAACGCCAGAGTGTGCACCCTCTCGTCCAACCTGGATATACATGCCAAGGCGACGGAGTCGTACCTCAAAGAGGCCCTCAAGAGCATCTCTGTCGTGGGTGGTGCAGCGAAGACCTTTCATGCAGACACCCAGGTGCTGATAGGCGCGAAACACGACAATTTGGAGCAGGGGATTAAGTCCTGTATCAACAAAGTGACAAATTGCGACTATGAGTCGCATACTTCGCTGTCTAAAACTCTGAGCGATCTCAGCAAGCAGACCTACGACATGGGCCAGGAGTTGCTGGCAGCCTTACACTTTGTTCAGGGCGAGCAGGGCACTATGAAGGACAATCTATGGCAGATTGCCAATGTTCTCGGGGACACGGTGGAGCAGGTGAGGATCATTCGTGATTACTGCGAGAGGCCAGTCCCGGTGAACGTTCAAGCAGCAGGACCGACGACTGGCATGCCACCTCCTCCTGCCTACGAGCCCAGTATACATGGAGCCAGACAGCAGCTGCATCTCCAGACGGCCATTCCTTTGGCCCGAGGAAGTGGAAGCACCGCAGCACCCCAGACGGCCCCGCAGGTGAACATCGACATGGGAGATGGGCGTACTATCAACATACCCGTGCACAGATAGTTCGCCCTAGTATCACAGGATAGTAATCGCATGCACGAGGGCAGCATCTTCTGATGTATTTAGGTTTCTTTTAAGCCCTGGCCTTTTTCTGCAAACGCCCTGCCTGCATGCCTGAATTCAATGCATGTCTTGTGTACTGTGCATGCCCTTGCCCTTGTCCTTTGCACTGGCACTGAGCTCCTTGCAACTTTCATGCCTTTATTAGGTTTTTGCTGTCTTGCACCCGGAGCCTCAGTGCCCAGAAGCGCGCAGTCTCAGAAGGCGAGCCTTTCTATGCCCACGGGCATCGTTGCACGCTGCACTTGATTGCATCCGCTTCCCTTTTGCATGGTACTGGTACTGAGGCAACAGATCCAAAAGAGAGAGACCACCGTAGGCATCCGCACTGGACCTCCTTTTAACCTCTTCCCCGTAGGACCCCGATTTGCTGTGCACCCTCCTGAAGCGCTGGGATGACATGTGAACTTGAGCCTGAGCTTTCGCATGTTCAAGCAAACCCACGAGCCTTCGACCCTCCACAACAGACCTGGAGCCTTACAGTTCAGTCACTGTCCAATGGATGGCTTTGATTTTCAGCTTGCATCTTATCTCTCGCCTTTTGAACCCTTGCTTGGTGATGAGCTCTTGGGAGTGCTTGGGACGATGCCTGAACACATGGCCCATCAATTCGCAGTGGAGTTTCGGGTTTATTTGGGAGCGATGATTAGGTCCTGGAGTTGGCACTTCTCTTTCCTTTTTGAAATTTTGAGATGCACCTCTATTGCTTGTCATTGGAGCGTACACTACAGGACTATCACCGTTTGCACCCGCCGCCCTCCCGAGGTTCTCCACCCTTCCCACCCCTCACAAGAGAAAACCGGTCTTTCATTCAATTCTTGGCAATGGACATGCAGTGTCGTTTCGATGCCACGCGTGAAAGCATGTCATGGCACTTCCTGCGACAACACATACCAGTCTTCGAGATTTTGCTTCAACCAGCCAGAAGTAGCAGGATCCGGGAGTAGATTGGGACCCATCATGTTCGCTGTCCCCCTGAAGCCTGCCATGACCACCCTGACCCACCCGAAGCTGCCGTCGGACAATCAGAAGCAACTGAGGTCATACTTGTGGACTCCCAAAGTAGTGATCTTCCCTCTACTGCATTGGTAGCCCACCCCACCGCAATGGCCCCAAGCGAACACCGAACCGAGACAGTCGAAACAAGAGCCAAGCAGATCCTTGAGGCCTTTGGGGGACCTAGCAAAGCCCAACTACTGGAGCTCTTCGATGCCTTGCCTCGTTCGTTGTTTCGTCGTGCGGATGGTGGCGATGGAGGACCCTCGATTTCGTTCGTGGCAGGGGGCGTCAACCCACGATCCTCTACCCTACCTCTCCACCTCTGTAGCTCGCACCCGAACTTCGTCAGAGCTGTGACTAGCTACATTAGGGATGCCTGTCCGAGTCACAAGTTCTCGACTTTCGTGATTCGTAGAGGCTGTTCGGGGAGGGTTCACCGCGATTGCAAGAACGGACCTTGCCCCTCGCTTGTGGTAGGACTGAACGATAACCTTGAGGGAGAGGGCCTTTGGATCCACGACAAAGTAGGCACGTGCATTAAGAGACATCTTGATCAAGACCTCTTGGGCACTGTAGTCTCCCTTCGAGCCCCGTTCGTTTTCGACGCCAGAAAGACCCTCCATGCTGGGCACCTGGTAGATGCCTCACTTGCACCCTCCCGTGTAGTGTTAGTGGCCTTCACCACCATCAATGCTAGATTTACGGCACCAAGGGTCAAAGTGCAACTGGAGGAACTTGGCTTTCCGCTACCCGAGGCTGCAGACATGCACATGCAAGACGGGGCGATTTTGAGGGAGTGCCCCAGGAGGCTTCGGCAGTTGACGTTCCTTGAGGCCCTCCACTTGTCCAGGGAAGAGGATGAGACACATGATGTCATCGAGGTTCTTGATTCCCAGGATTGAACCCTGTGTGGTGGTAAGTGGCCTGTGTGTAAAACGCGGGCTGCTTGTTTTCTCTCCTTCTGCTGGACTGGAATTTAGGAATTTATTGCTGGACTGTTGCATGTTGCATGTTTTTGATGATGCATGGGATGATGATTGCATGAGATGGGTGCTGACTTTGCATGCCAGTCCTGTCTGTCGGTCTTGTCCCCCCCTTACCTACTAGCCCCCCTACTTTATCATGTTTTATCCTTTGCTTTCCCTCCCTAACAACCACTAACCTGCCCTACGCGCAGCCATGGACCACCAGAGCACTGCCTGGAAAAAGACGACACGGAGTAGACTGCGGAGAACAAGCAAGTAACCACCGATGGAGGTGGAGAAAGTAGTCCTGGTTTTCCTGTGGGCAGCCAATAAGGCTGCAGAAGCAGTGGCCATGAGCGACCGTAAGTTCACCAGAAGTCTATCGGCTGCGAACTGGATACAGGTCTGAAAAGGTTGATCTTCGTGGTGAGTAAACCTGAGAAAGCCCCCCTTTTTGGACCTTCCAGGGTGAGCTGGACGACTGGGTGATACCAATGGCCATGCTGATAGACCGCTGAGCATCTACATAGCTGCTTTAGTACAGTCGATGCTGCAACATGCGGACCTTGATGACTCCGAATTCAAAGAAAGGCTGGCCCCTGGCAGTGATAGTGTGAATCTCGAGTGACCCTGATGCTGAAAGCTGCGACCAGTGCCTTGCGGTTCGTGGATGCTAGTCAGCTGCTTTCACTTGGAAGCTGACTTCAGAATTGCGAAATGAGAATCTGGGGTAGTGCGCTCCCAGAGTGATGAGAACCTCCACGTGTACTGAAGGGCTGCCTCTGAACAAAAGCCTTTAGGTTTCACTTAGTTTCCTCTCCTGTAATCCCTTTCTGGTCCCTGGGGAGCTTCACTGGGTTGTGTTTTGTTGTTCTTTGGTGTCTGGTTTTGGGGAAGCTCGAGGGGACATGCAACAGTAAAATCTGTTGCCAACAGGCA